ACTGGCTTACAAGCTTTCAAGAGGGAACCTAGATCCAGAGGGCGTGGAGGAAGGTAGAATCTCCACTGAGTAGTATCTAATTTGTCTAGGCGGGACGATGAAAGGAAATGTGGATAGGTCTCTTGTGATACAAGGGTGAATAATTGTTACCAGGACTGACTGTGAAGGTTGTAAATGTAAAAGTAGACATTTTGTGGCAAGGAGGGGAGTGATTGACTTTGCAGGCTAGGAGTGGAGGTCCCTGGAACCATGAAGGGAGAAGAGCGGAGAGCAGAGAAGCAGTGATCCCCGAGATGGAGTCAGAGATGATGACGTGGAGTGATGGAGCAGCTGGGGACTCAGGACCCAGGGAGGGACAGGGCCTGTGTGCTGACGACCAGGGGTGGGGGGGGCGGGGAAGGAAAAGCAAGCTTGTAGAATGTACCCCTTCGTTGATTGGTAATGCGTGGAGGGGATTGTAACCATGGCAATGAGACAATATACAACAGAATGAATGTAAAGCTAATGTTTTCCCATATACCCATGTAAACTATCACATAACTCACAATAGAACTTTATATATATAAAAAAAGAAAGATTAGAAGAAGAATGGCTAAATAAACTTTTTTAAATACACACAATGGAATATACTATGCAACATGGAAGAAAAATGATACATCTGTGGAACATCTCACAACATGGGAAGATATTAAGCTGAATGATTAAATTAGTCAATCGTAAAAGGACAAATTGTATTTGACCAATATTGTAAAAAGTTAAAAATGTTTTCTTCATAAAAGAAACAATCTATGATGGTTACGGGGAGTTGCGGGGATTTTTCATGGACTAGAGGAGTAGACATGTTAAACATGGGAGACAGGGCAGGCAGTATACAATAGGGAGGTTGACAGAGGAAAGATGAAGGTAGTGGGAGACACAGGAAGGAATGCAATAGTTAAAGTGAATAGAGGTAAATACTGTTAACTAACATCAACAACAAACGGCAAAATGGCAGCATCAATGGGCTCAAGCGTCACAACAATTGTGAGGTTGGCCCAGGACCGGGTAATGTTTCGTTCTGTTGTGTATACAGTCACTATGAGTCAGTACTGACTCGATGGTACCTAACAACAACAACAATGGTACATGGAGGGGATTGCAACTATTACAATGAAGCAAAGTATATGATTTGTTGAATGTAAAACTGATGATCTGCTCTGTAAGCCTCTACTCAATTCACAATTCAAAGTAAAAAAATATACACACTTCAAAAAATCTTGTTGTTAAATGCCATTAGTCAGGTTCGACTCATAGCAAGCCTGTATAGGGTTTCAAGAACAGCTGTTAAGTTTGAACTACTGACCCTGTGGTTCAAACCAACTTTGCAGTCTAGTGCTTATCCTACAGTGCCACACCAAAACTCTAAATTTCATCCTATTTAAAAGTCACTTTATGGTAAAGTAGTCAAGTCTGAATGATAAAATCTGTAAGGCAATACTGCTTATTTGTACTCTCATGCTTTCTTCCTCTTCCGTCTTAAACAAAAATGTCTACAGGAGGGCATTATGTACCAATATAAGATCATTTTGGTTTATGAATCATTAAAGAAATGTATAAAGCAAAATGTTTTAATTCTCAAGTTTAAAACAAGAAAGAGGAGCAGCAGCATTTTCAGATGTGCTAACCTGTACATAATACCCCTTTTTGCCTTCTAAATCTTTATTTTGCCTCTAGTCATTTCTTCTCTCTCCTCTCCCTGTGAATGGAAAGACGGTTGAGCTTTCCAAGAAACATGAGGTAATTTTCTGAGACACTGGTAATGTTTTGTATCCTGATAAAGGTTTGGTTAGCACAAATGTATGCATTAGCATTTATCATTTTTACATTTCACACTACACTCATTTTACCTAAAAACACAAAATTTACATAAATACTATTATGATAAGCTTACTGAATGGATGGAAAAGTTGTATCCATGTCTATAACTTACTTTTTAAAGAATAAAAATGAACATGGATTGATGGAGGGACAGATGATGAGGTGATAAAAGTATAAATAAGAATGCTTCAAAAAGTTCATGGAAAAACAGAATTTAAAGTAACTTATTTGTGGCACTGTAGGCTAATGTGCTAGACTGCAAAGTTATGTGAACCACGAGATTAGTGGTTCAAGCTCACCAGCAGCTCCTTGGAAACCCTATACAGGGTCACTATGGGTTGGAACCAACTTGACATCACTGAACAACAACAACAAATATTCTCTACAAACTTTTGGAAGACCCCTCATATAGCAAAATGTTAACTGTAGAATTAGGGGTGGCTTTTTGAATGCTCACTATAGAAATCTTTAACCATTATTATAACTTTTTAAACTTCCATAATAATACACTGGGTGGGGGGAAGGAAAATAAAATGCTCCTTTATACCTAATTTAAAAATCTAAAAGAAGGTAAGGTATTCACAATAGTTTAGAAACATAACTAATTTAATAAACAAGCACAAATACTTATTAAGAATAATTTTAAATGTTTGTTGTTGGTGGTGAAGTGCCATTGAGTTGATTCCAACTCACAGCAACTTGTATAGGGTTTCCAAGGAGTGCTGGTTGGGTTTGAACCAAAAATTTTGCGGTTAGCAGTCCCGTGCTATAACCTACAGTGCCACAGAGGGCATATAAGAGGTGGAAAAATGAGAGAAATACGCCACATTCATAGATAAGACAATAGTATTAAAAGCCACATTCATAGATAAGACAATAATATTGAAAAAGTCAAAATTTCCCAAATTAATCTATAAATTTAATGCAGTATCAGTGAAAACTGCAGCTGGATCTTTTCAGGGAGGTGGGTGGAGGAATTTATACTTATTCCAAAGTATTATATGAAAGAACAAGGGTAGGTAAGTGATTATAAGAAGAAAAAAAAAATTCAAGACAAGGAACTCGTTCCACCAGATATCAAGCAAAGACCCGGTATATAGAGTGGTACGACATAAAGATCAGGTGAACGCAGAACCACACACTAAGGTGTATTTGGGAATTCTGAGATCCAATAAAGGTGACATCGTGTATCAATGGAAAATTCAATAAAATAGGTTCTCTAATAGAGGATAGTGGGAAAATGGCTCATTTATATGTAAAAAAAACCCAGCTGGATCCCTACAATCCTACACAAAGGTCAGATGGATGAAAGACTTAAACTGAAAAATAAACTATAAAACAAAGAGTCTTTCATGTCCTAGGGATGAAGAACTACTTTTTAAACAAGCCTTCAAAAGCACAAAGCAGAAGATGGAACATTAATGGATAATGACATCAAAATTAATGACTTATCTTCAACCAAGGACACTTATCAACATAGCAAACTAAGAACTTACAGACTGAGAGAAGAGATATGCAACACCTTATATTGTTAAGGAATTAGTATCAAACATATTCAAAAGTCAGAGATGAACAAGAAAAAATACCTCAACAGAAACACAAGTGTGAGAAAAGGTTAGAATAACTTACAAGTACATGAAGAGATACTCAAAATCAACAGAACTCAGAGAAGTTCAAACAAAATACCATGTTATACTTGACCACCATGCAAAGATTAGAAAAGTGATAATACCAAATGTTAATAAAGATGAACAGAAATGAGAGTCCTCAGTTACAAGTGGGAGTAGATATCTGAAAAGCAAACTGCCAGTATTTAGCAAGGGCGTGTATGAAAACAACCCAATAATCTCATTCCTAAGAATACTTTGGGGTCCTGGTGTGGAGCTGTGGGCGAATGCATAGGACTGCAAGGTCGGTGGTTCAAGCTCACCAGTCACTCCTTGGAAATCCGTAATAGGGTTGATACAAGTCAGAACAGACTTGATGGCACTTAACAAACACAAATCCAGAATGGGACCCACATAAGGATACACATTGTGGTAATGGTGTGTCATAACAGAGAACTGAAGCAACCAAGAAGATAAATGGTGTACAAACTTTCTACAGGAGAAAAGGAATAAATGTGCATATAGCATGCTACACAGATAGATTTTAAATTTAAGAATAAAAAGAAAGAAATTTAAAATATCAGCATAATTCTAGTTATGTAAACTGAAAATAGAATCATGCAAAATAGCCCTATAGATTTTATAAGGGCAATCAAGGATTCTAGAGTTGGTGTCTCTGCTGTATAACAGACATGAGAGTGGGAATGGGAGGAGGGGAATCAAAGAGATCAGTGATGCTAAAGTGTCAGGAATTAAGAAAATGATTTTACTTACTTCCACAGTTGAGGCTCAAATAAAAAATATGAAACACTTCTATGACTGGAAAATTTAAAAAGCAGCTAAAGGCAAATAATAATATAAAGTACATTTGCTCCATAAAATGAAATATTTAAAATAGTTAGGTTGGCATAAAGCTACCAAACTCTCAATTATTTAATGACTGATTATTTACCTGATAGGCCAGCTAGTCTTCTTTTGAGTATCTAGAATTTTATTATTTCACAGATTATACAGAGAATTACCAGAAAGTGGCACAAAGTTCCAAAAAAAGCTGAGCTCCCCACCCTTTTGTAGACAAAATAAGTCACTGAAGCAGAAGGAAGGTTTTACATAATGCCTAAGATTAGAGTCTTCAATTACCTAGAAATTTAGTTCTAAAAATTAACTACTATTAATAATCAGACTACAAAAGTAGTCTTCTAAATGGAGGTGAAGGAGAGAAAGGAGAGGCATACCTGGAGCCTACCATGAGTATTTTATCACTCTCTCAGAAGACCTGACTTCCAAGGGCACTTACCAATAAGGAGACTTAGTGAGACAGTGGGTTAAATGCTGGGTTACTAATTGGAAAGTTGGTGGTTCCTAGCCACCAACTGCTCTATGGAAGAACGAGGAGGCAGTCTCCTCTGGTAAAGCTTTATAGCCTCGGAAAACTCTAAGAAGCAGTTTTACTCTGTCTATAGGAATCAGAATTGACTTGATGGGAGTGGGTTACTTCTTTAGTTAAGGGAGTTTTCACAATACTAACCTTGCAGAGTTCCTCAAGTCTTTAAATTCTACATTGAGAAGAGGCAAGAAGTTGCTTTTGCAGAATGGACACATAGTATTCAAATTAGAATCATCAGCAGTCCATCCAGCCATAATTTCTTCATCATAAACCAAAGCTCCACAAGCTCTACACTGTGAACAACTTGACATCAAAACCTAAGACCAGAAAAATGCAGACACTGAAAACGTTTATGGTGGAAACTAGGATCCCTGGGTGGTAGCAGGTGCTGGCAGTTTGAACCCATCCAGAAGCACCCTGACAGACTAGCCTGGTGAGCTGTTTCTGAAAGGCCGCCCCAGTGAAAACAATGGAGCAGTTTACCCTGCTACTAGCGGAGTAGCCATGAGCTGACCACAACTAAAATAATGTTGAAAATTAAATCTACCATGCTGTTCTTCTGAGATATGCACAGAGTTTCATTTATTCTATTGATGAAATTTGGAATTAGCCATTCTTTTACCTTATAGCAAAAATCATCAGTTCATTATTTTCCCTACAAAGATATCAAGCAAATAAAAAAATAGTATTTTATTATTATGTCCACAAATATATCATGGAACTCTATTAAATGCAATTCTGAAGTAAAAATACAAATATGCTTATCGCTATTTTATTATGGAAAGAACACAGAACTTTTACCTCCATTGCACAATTCTGATAGATGCTAGACATGCTAGTATTTTGAGAAGAACCATGTTCTGATTTTTCAAAGTCCTGCCCTTTTATGCCTCTTGGATATGAAACTTCACCTAAAGAGAAGGATTAAAAAAATCATGACACGTTATGTAAGACAATGTCCTTAGGAAACGCATGCTTCAGTATCTTGGAGTGAAGTGTTATGATGTATACAACTCATTTTCAAATGGCTCACTAAAAATATGTTGTAGATACATATACAAGGGTGCTTCAAAATTTATGGAAAAATTCATTATCTTTGAATTCTAGAAAGAGAGAGTTAACAACAGTTAACAAATATAAGCGTGGGCTATGTGATTATTTATTACTATACTTTTCAACATGCTTGAAATTAAAAGAACTTTAAAAATATATATACATATAGATATACACACACACACTCACATAGAGAAACTGAAAGCTAAGAAATTTCAATAAATCCAGGGTTCTTGAATTTATAGCCCCTAAAAATATGTGTTGTGGATTCTAATCTCTATACCAGAATCCGGAGTCCTGGAGTCCTGGAATGGCACTGAAGGTTAATGCACTGGATTGCAAGGTCAGTTTGAATCACAAGGTTGGCAGTTCAAGCTTACAAGCTGCTCCTTGGAAACCCTACACAGGGTTACTATGAGTTGGAACCGACTTGATGGCACTTAACAACAACATACCAGAGTCCTGGTGTGGCACTGTAGGATAAGCACTGGACCACCAGGTTTGTTTAAACTATGAGGGCAGTGGTTCAAACCCACCAGCAGTCACTGCTTGGAAATCCTGTAAGCAGTAGACTCATTAGACACATAATAACAACATGTCTGTAGTGATGATCCTATCTGGGGATGGGTTGTCTTTATTATGTTAATAAGATGGGGTCAGTATAGCTCAAGTGAGTTGCAAAAAAGTTCAAAGTTGCCACTTGTGCCCTGAAAGTCAGTCTTAACTTTTGTAGTAACAGAGCTGATGTTGCCAAAAATCAAGCCGACAGTCTTATAGTAGGAGTGTTGAATTACAATGCCAATTGAATTCTCAACCTCAAATGATGTGTAAAGTTAAAAGTGAGGGCACTGATTGTGAAGAAATAGGATCCTGAAACTTAGGATGGAAGCATATGAGCAGATAATCAAGAAGCTGGGGGCAGTGAGCCCCTAAATTCCACTGAATCACTCTGCCAACATAAATAGCTCTCTTATCCCCAATTTCAAGAGATTAACCCAGTTTTGCCTGATGAATCTTTGTTTGAAATAATGTCTAAGACACTGCCTAAAGTAGCTAGATGCCTTAGAAGACATTGCTGAATGATCTTAAGTCAGTCTTTTTTGAGTTATAAAAGAGATTAAATAAACCAGCAGATGAGAAATGGGTTAAGAGAGACCCCAAACCACATGGAGATCTCTAAGGAATCAGGAAGCTAAAACTGAAGAGACCAGGACCTTCCTCTGCATCCAACAGCGAAAACCTTGCCCTCAATTTGGATGTCTAACCTAATAAACCATGAGAACACACATTCCTGGTTTTTCAATCCACCCACTTTGTGGTTATCCCTGTTATAGCAGCACTAGAAAACTAAACTGGTCCATATCTGATTCACCCAGCGAAACAGTCTCACAATTCTATCCAAGGACTTAAACAACTCAATATATATTTAAACAAATTCACCCAGGTGATTCTGATACATATGAGTATTTGAGAATTAATGCTATAATCCACAAATATACGTAACTAAAAACAAAAACAGTTAGTGCCTTTAGTACTTTCAGTGCTGTCGAGTCAGTTCTAACTCATAGCAACCTTGTACAGGTATGAACCACCCACTTTGCAGTTCAAACCAACCTTGCGGTCCAGTGCATTATCCTGTAGCGCTACACCAGGACTCCTTAATAGTTACAGATAACATGAGAGTGAGACATGATTTATCAGATCATCTAAAAGGCTAACTATATTAGGGCAGGAAGGGCATACAAATTAAAACAGATAAGGATTAAAGGAAGAAAAAAGTTTTTCCCCATACCTGCTGGGTAATGAAGTTTTCCTACATCTCCACTGCTGCTGCTACTGCCAAGGCTTGTATTGCTCTGGGTAAGTTCACTGGAGACCAACCCTGAGATACTCATGTTAGGAGACTTATTCTCTCCCAAAAGATGGTCTTCTAGGCCAGCTGGAAAGCTATAATCCCTATTAGGTTCCTCCTGCAATTCAAAAGAATAAAAGCTAGTGTACATAAATAATACTTTTTCATTGGAAATATACTAACTCTATCCTTTCAGAATTAAATTCCTCTATAACCAACACTTAACAACAACAAAATAATCATTAAAAGAGCTTAGTCAAACCCCATTCCAAGACTGAAACTCAAATGGAATACACTAGCAGGCATACGGTCCCTGCTGCTGACCACGGTGGTCACCAATAAGGAGAAGTGGGGGGAAAACAGCTATGAAGTTGTGAACTAAGTCTAACCACATTCAATAGACTCCTGGTTAACCAGCAGTATGATGAGACCTGGGGATT